CGCCACAATGCCTGGCTATTTTTTTGTTGCAGTTTGGCTGGGGCCAGGTTTGAGCCCACCACCTTCAGTATATGGGGCCTTGGCGCCCTTCTCACTGAGCCGCAGGCACTGCCTCATGTTTTTTTTTTTCTTTGTCATCAAAGGACAAGAGGAATTTCCTTCGTGACCCTCCGGCTGGAGTGCAGTTTAATTTCGACTTCGATCAGATGTACCCTGTTGCCCTGGTCATGCTCCAAGAGGATGAGCTACTGAGCAAGATGAGATTCTCCCTAGTTCCCAAACTGTAAGTAGCATGTCCTCCAGTGGAGTAGCACTGCACGCACAACATCCCTTTCCATTCTCTAATGGCCTTGGTCATGTGTTTGGCACAAGAAAAGAATAATGGGCTCAGACTATCTGTTCATGAAAGTGGCCCTTGTCGCCCTTCAGCAGCCCCCACCTGCAGGGCACTTTAGAATCCAAACTGAGGGCAGGCTCTGCAGAAAATGGGTAGGGATGAGATGTGCTCTTTTGTCCTAGCTAAAAGATAGAACGCATCTTTCTACAGAAATCACAAACAACTTGATCTACCTAAATCAAATTCAGGTCTTCAGGGCACATCAGGACAGTTTTTCCAAGCCAGCAGCTTTTCCATGCAGGCTCTGCTCTCCAGCTGTATGTTCTTCTCTCGCCTGAGGTTCTCCCCCACTGAAGGCTCTTCAGAACTCTGCTTGTCCAAAGCTCCAGAGCAAGCACAGTGTATCCTGTAATGCCTCCCCTATCGGTGCCACATTTCCCCCTGGGCTTTGTGTCCCTGGCTCTTCCTTGCCTTTTCTAGTCCTGTATTGAATGTGTCATGTGCATGGCACTTAAACTTCTTACTCTTTTTTTCTTTTTTTTGTCTGGGACTGGGTTTGAACCGACCACCTCCGGTATATGGGGCTGGCGCCCTACTTCTTTGAGCCACAAGCACTGCCCTTACACGTCTTACTGTTAAGTGGATGCAGTTATCTTACTGCTCCCTGAGGACACGGATTACAGTTTTCTTGAGTCTTTTTTCTGTGCCATTTCCTTGGAACTTTCATATTTGTTTGGGACCCTGCCTGGCATATGGTGGGCTCTCCTTACCTGTCCTTGTGTGTTAACAGCACTGTACTGAAAGGGTGTGTGGCTATATGTTGGGACAGACCTGTTGGACTAGAGAGGCTTGGTAGCTGTGGGTGAGTAGCTCTTCCCACCCCCACCAGGACTCCTCAGCCTCCTGCCTGGCTACAGACAGGGCAATGAGAAGAGCCTGGGCCCCATGACTTCAGAATGGTCATACCCTAGTTGTCCCAAGTCTCAGCTGTGCTTGCTCAGTCACAGCAGGCTCACAGGTCACAGCAGCTCAGCTTCCCCTCCCCATGTGGAAAGTGCTGGGTGGGAGTCCAGGGGCGGGAGGCTCTCTGGGCTTCTACCCAGGCCTGCTTCTTGTCACTTCCCCATCCCCCAGGCAGCTCAGCACAGCTTTCTCTGGTCAACAAAGTAGATTGCTGGGCAGCGCCTGTGGCTCAAGGAGTGGGGCACCGGCCCCATATACCAGGGGTGGTGGATTTAAGCCTGACTCCGGCCAAAACTGCAAAAAAAAAAAAAAGTAGATTGCTATTTGCCCATGGACCGTTTAGCTTCTACTGTCTTCTCCCATTCTCTTTGTCCTTGTGGTTTTACTGATGTAATTTCTGTTATTTTCGTGGCATTTTCAAAGGAAACACAGCTGACCATGTGTTCTTTTCACTGTTCTACCCAGGGTGACATTAGTGAGACTCTGTCTCAAAAAAATAAATAAACTGGCTCGGCGCCTGTGGCTCAAGC